GATTTGAATAGCAGGGTAGGGTACCGCCTGAAAACTCAAGTGTTATTTCCGTGAAACCACTAGTGCGATGACCATTTGATTATGGACCGCCACTACCAATACCGTGATGTAGGAAACTGAGTTTAAGATCGTCTGATGTCGGACCAACAATCTATCGCCATATTTCGATGACGGTTGTCGATGGAGGTCATTTGATGGAATAGTGCGCGGCCGAGACTTCATGAAATAGTCAACGTGATATCTGAAGTTAGACAAAGGGCGACGATGACGCGTAGATGAAGATTTGGCGTCTAGTAAGAAAGCCGAAGGAAAATCATAAAAAAAAATTGAGTTGGCGCCACATCTGGTGATTCTTGTGTCTCGACCTGCCCACAGCTGGGATGATAGGTTACGCTGATTCGCCTCCCATAAAATAAGCTTCGCGTCGGCCAATGATGCTTTGATTCCGGATCCGATGGTACTCATGGTTCTAGACTGGCTTTCCATTAGACTTTCAAGACAGGCTATATAAAGTAACAACTCACCTCATTCTCATGAAAGTACAGAACCTCGCACTACAAACTCTGTTAATCCAAGATCCTTCTCTCTATCAAGATTTTTCAGCGGAGGTATATCAGCATATCTTGCTCCATCATGCTATCCAAACAGGTGCTGTTGATTGCTATCTACCTGGGCTTGGCCGCCGCCCAATGCGGACCTTCCGGCGCACACATCCAATCAGGCACTGCGCAATGCTCATGTTCCGGCAACCACATCTCATGCGGTGCTTTTCAGATTTGCGGCGTTGGTCACACTAATGCCAACGTCCTATTGACAGCCAGTTGTACCGCTACCGTCACCTGCACTAATAAAGGCGGTAATACAGTCGATGTCAAGAGCCAGCCCGTCACTGTACCTTCCCGTGCTGTCACCGCAAATGCTAGAAATGGCTGTGTGAACATCCCTTCGCTTCAAGTTACTGAGCCGTCAGACAACCAATTTAAGGCTGCTGCAACCTGTCCAAACCCGAACTGGACTAAAGACATTAAGCCAGATAGCACTAGTTGCACCTTTACTGAAACTGTGACGTTTGAAGGCTGCGACACCGCATTTACTACCGTACAGGGTTCATGTTGATACGCAAGCAGAGATTGGTATGCACATAATTTGCTTTATTTACGAGGTTATATCTTTTCTATATGGTGACCCTGGTTTCGAATTTGCTTGCTTTGCGTCTGCCTTCAGAAAAGTTTTGAAGCCTTTTGTGCTCCTTCATATACCGTAAAGGTGACAACTGAACTTCAGCTTAGTCTATAGGGCGTGACACTGCCATCTCCATAATAAGGACTGAGTTGGAAGGGCCAGTTAAGGACATATTCTTTTCGGTTGATGTATTTATACTGCTCTGGACTGGGATTAAGTGGGATTACCATTTGCTTTGTAACAGCTCTGAACCACAATAGTTCTATTATAGGTTTAACAAATCAGTTTCATGGGCATTGTTCCTTATACCGTCGCAGTGGTTTCTGACTAATGAAGGAACTACAATATTGTAGGAACAGTCTGTAACTGTTTACCTATATTAAAGGCTCCATGATCTCCTCCCACTAATGGTAATCTCATCTGGTTCATGCACACAGGCTTCGCACTTTCGAGCAGTATCCATTTACTTTATACCTTAACGATACGCCTAGTAACCTATATTACTACTTTATGCAGGCCTAACTTGGATGTAGATAGAGAGCATGAGCAGGATTTTCACTAGTTGGTGTTACCCAACCCACGACCAGTCTATCTAGGAGACAGACAAAAACTGCAGAAGGATTCTCTACCTAGGAAGCCCAGGAGTTCTTTTAATGCAGGGATTAGGCTAATAAAGCTATTTTAACTATCCCTATAGAGCAGGCAGTAGATACAGAATAATGCCTCTGACAGGCGCCCCCATGCTGTAACGACTGCTATATTCTAGAATATAGGTGAATGCAATATCTGCAATGCCAGAATAGCTAGTTTTAGTAATATAAAATCATATTTTAGGGCTTGAAAACCCCTTCCTTTCTGATAATATGATTAGTTGATCAGCTCAGTTGCATGATCTGCTTGCTTACAGATTACATGTACATGTGGGATTGCCAAGTGTGGCTGAGCAAAACATAGTAGAAGCAACTACTAAGGGTATATATGTCATAACGCCCCATCCATTTTCCTCAATTTCCAAGGAGGAACTTCTGTAGGATCAACCTCAAGATGAAGAAGCACACAAATTTCTCTATGTTATCCTCAATCTACTTCCAACCATGGTACTAGGGGTGGTGGCCAGCATCCACTCCTAACATCCAGCTGTCTGGTACAGGACTACAGGATGATGTGATTTGTATAACAACATATCACAAGCGGGATCAAACTCTGATACACCCGTACTCATGGAAATTATGCTACCCCGTCCGCAATATTGACCTGGTAGATCCTCAGTAGATCTTCCATTGAAGCACGTGTATGCGGATGCTGGTCACCCAGTGTACTCCTCCTCCTTCTGACAACTTGCTCATTGAGCTTCTCCGCAGCCTCCCATCTTCCTTGGCTCTCATATATGCTTACAAGATTTGCCATTGCCGAGAGTGTATGAGGATGGTCAGAGCCAAGGGTATTCTGCATCTTTTCCAACGCTTCCAGCGTCAGACTCTCAGCGTCGTTCAACCGTCCCTGGCTGTGATATGTCAATGCTAGGTTAGACATAGCTATGAGCGTGAGTGGGTCTTGTTCACCAAGCATCCCTTTCATGGTTGTCCAAGCCTCGATCCCAAGATCCTCAGCATAAGTTAACAAGCCTAGACCACGGTACGTTAAGGAGAGATTGCATAACGACATTAGGGTTTGGGGATGGTTGTTGCCAAGGGTTCTCCTGCTCGTCTCCACTACCTGCTTCTCAAGACCTGCTGCGTCAGCCCATTGGCATTGATCTCGATAGGTCGATGCGAGGTTTGCCATCGCTGTCAAAGTAAGCGGGTGGTCGGGTCCCTGGCTCGCGGTCCTTTCTTCCATAACCTTCAATTCCAAGGCTTCTGCGTCGTCCAGTCGACCTTGATCGCGGTAGATTGAGGCCAAGTTTGACTTCCACGTGATTGTGGACTCGTGGGACGCACCAAGAACCTCGCTACTGACCTTGATCACCTGCTTTCCGAGCTCTTCGGCTTCGCTGTATCGACCCAGGTTACCATATACGGTGGCCAAATTTCCCATCGAGCTCAAGGTCGACGGATGTTCCTCCCCGAGTGTTCTCCTCTTTGCCTCCAAGACCTGTATCTCTAGCTCCTCCGCTGCCTTCCATCGGCCTTGGCTGTTATAGATTGAAGCCAGGTTCGTCATTGATGTCAGGGTCTGTGGGTTCTCCTCTCCCAAAAGCTTTTTCCTCATATCCACCACTCGTGAACCCAGGGCAGCAGCGTCACTCCAATGGCCCTGGCCCCAGTGGGCGGATGCCAAGTTAGCCATAGCGGTCATGGTTGAAGGATGTTCCTCGCCAAACAGACTCGTTCGCGTTTCCACCACAATCTTCCCGAGGTCTTCTGCTGCCTTCCATCGGCCATGTTTGAGATAAGTAACGACCAGGTCGTGGAGCAGTCCCACGACTGTGATACAGTCGATGGAGGACCGTTTCCCCGCTTCCTCTAGTGCATTCTGCACTTCTTCCGCTTCTTCTTGACGACCTTGGGCTCGATAATTCGCCGATAAACTTCGAATCGTTGCCAGGATTGATGCTTCTTGGGTCGCCTCCATTAGTCGAGAGGCGTGGTCTGTTTCCGCAAACCGAAGCTCCAAGGCTGCAGACACCGAGGAAACGGAATATTTAGGGGATGTTCTGAATTGCGAAAAATGATTTCTCAGCCCTACAAGATGTTATTTTGGGAATGAGTGCTGGATTGAGAGGGGCTGCAACCCCCCCACATCGATCGTTGACCAGATTGGTTAATTCTAGAGAGATTAGGCAGCAGCCTGATGCCCGCTACCGCCGAGGTATGGTATGGCTGTTTCGCCTCTGGCGCAATCTTGGTCAACTAGTCTAGTTGTCGAAAGATTTTGGAAGGATGGTTCCATTTGGAGCAAGGCATTACAATCCGGCTGGTGGTACCTTTGGGGGTGTTATTTTGCAGCTTGACAACGTTGGTAAGCACACCATTCAAGGTTACGGTCCAAGACGCCTTTACTGACGGCGACGAACTTAGAGGTCAAGTTGATTCTGAAGTAGATCATTCCCGTAACATTCCTGACCATCCGGCCAGAGAAATGCAGTGTCGAGCTCCTCAAGCCTTGTCAGAAGCCTCCTCCTACGCTGGCCCCTCCCTAAATGGCTATCATACTGGGTGAATAAGCATATTGGAAAATTGCTGTACCTGCCCCTTTAGCTGCAAAATAATGGCGAAACTTATATCTGAAATATCTGACCATGGTAAGAGTCCTTCACCTGCATTTCCTGTGGAGTGCCTTAATGACTCTACTTCGTAAATGGATTAATCAGCCCCTATCCGAGAGATTTAACTAAGCTGGGAAGAGTCAGTCCGGCGGATAGTTTTCGTCTGCAGCCTCATCTCCCTTGGTCTTGGTTTACTGCTGTAATTGGGGTAAATCCGGATTATTCCAAGGCTGAATAGTAGGTACCATACCTTGCATTTCGCCCATAGCACAGTATTTTAATATAGTATTGTAATATAATTATGTGGTTGAGGCATGGGCGGTAGGCTAGGGCGAAAAAAGTGGTAGAGCCGATATCGTTACTATAGACTAGCGTCCAGCCAGCGAATGCTTTTTGTGTATATTCAACATCAAGAGTACTTATGAAAGTGGCATTTTATGGGCCAATTCGTGTGTGACAATACATGAAATTATGGGGCGAGGTTATAGAAACAGGATATTCTCCGGGGTTTCTGGCCGTAGGTAAAAGGCAAGCACGACTATCAGATACCTAGAATACAGATTTCACATTAGAACGGCTCTTCGGTATCTCATATGCGATGGATAGAAGATCAGCAAGGGAGGAGGACGTACGTTCCGACCAGCATCAGTCCCTCAAAGTAATTGGTTTCTCCACGATGAGCCATGGAAGTGGTCACCATAACACAAACCAGGAAGATGACAGTGTCGAATGCATCAAAAACTAGAACAGTCGGGACGTCTAAGATCCAGCCCAGAAAAGCGACGCAGGGGACTACGAGCAGAGCTATCCGGAGTGCATTGATTATCACAGCTGTGATTCCCGACGCTCCTCTATCTTCCCGGTCCACGGTTACTATACTTAGAATCTTGGCCGAGTTTCCGACGAGAGGAATTATGACCAGGCTGATAAAGTGCTGGCTGATCCTGGTGGATTTTGCAAACCCGCTCAAGCTGCTCACCATAAAGAAGCCGCACAGGGCAACGGATGGGATGCTCGCGGCCAAAATGATAGCCGGACGCCAGGACCGGACTGCAGCAATCTGGGGACTTTGTGTGGAGCCGCCAGTGGGGATAGCTTTGAAGTAGGAGGTATGCGTCCGGAGTCGAAATAAGAGAAACACCGAGAGAAGGAGGAAGAGGACAATGGCGGTTCCATGGGTTACGCGCGTAATATCAACCCGAGCGAAAACATCGGGCGCCAAAAACATTTTCAAACCGGTGGGGACCATGAGACACACGGCAGCAGCCATGAGGAGCGAAGAGAGGATACCAGTCAGTGTTCGATCGAAGTCGAGTTTCTTTTTGTTGTAGCCGGAGACGAAGAAGCAGCTACCAAGCACCTAGACGAATGACTATGAGTCGGGAGAGAAAAGAACTGCCTCAAGATGTCAAAGGACGTGGAGACTTACGAGCAACAAGTAGCAAAGGATGCTTCCAAGCAGTGCGGACTGTGCGGTTCGAACTTGGTCTCGAGCTAGCGCAGCGACACCCACCTGGGAAATCATGAGCAAGAAGCGAAGCCCATCAGACAGGAAGAACTGACCGTCAGCTCCACGGCGTTTCCCAAAGTAGCCTTGAACAATTCGTCGATCAGAGGTGTGACGCTCGCGGACAACTCGCTGATGGAGAGGGTCATCCATGATACAAGAGGGACAATCGCAGCGAGGTTAAGAAGGAAAACTGCGTCATCAGCCCATCCAAGAATACCCGCGACGATCCCTATCGGCACTAGGAGCAGCAGGGCACTGAGGTAGCTGTGGCATATTTGGGACGTTACCATGTGGTAGGAATGCCACGACTTCTGGCGCATAAGCGGTTGGCGAGGTTCACCATCGAGAGAGTCTGGGGATGGAAGATTAGACTGGTCCGTTTCACTCGACCTTGACATTTTTGGAGCTCCTCTCCGGGATAAGACCGATGGAGGAGAAGAAGATACAAGCGGACTCGCAATCGGAGAATTCTGGTCTGATCTCATTGTAAAGGCGAACTTTCACGAGGTTGAAGCAGGATGCTCGCGGTTGGAACACTTTTTCTCTAGTTATCTACCAGCCAGACCAGTCTGCTAAGTCTCCTAGTCTGTTACGAGTTATAGAGTACAATACCGTACAGAACTCGAACAACGTTGCGCTACCAAGGAACAATCCCCACCTTTCAAGGGGTTTTAAACAATGGTTTCTTCTGATTGGGCAATGGATCAGCCTTACCACCCGAGTCTTGTGGTAATAGTGGGGTGGCCTGCGCTTGGCAGGTCCTTGAAAAGCTTCGACCATTAGGCAACCTCATTACCTCTAGCCAATCAAACAGGATGATGGAGCGGGTGTGCCCTCTGTCTCATCCATACTATTTATATGACGGTAAACCACAGGAAAACATCCGAGCTCACGGACAGAACTGTGGTTTCTTGCCTAAAGATGCCTCGACTCCGGCACTTCATGTCTTCCTCCCCCCAGAAGCGTGTTGATGAGCCGCCGTCACCTGAGAATGAACCTCTATTAAAGGGCGATATGTTTCTGCAGAAGAGCGCGCTTGAGCAGCGTCTCACAAGCCATTACATTTAGCCTCTCAGGATGGTGATCAGGGCAACGTTGGTCTCGAGCTATGCGAACTTGTTACTTTCCACATTGAACAGCCCATGTCGCTCCATTTCAACACCTTTAAAATTACCGTATTTTCGCTAGCGGCAATCTTAACCAAATGACTCATGCGGGAGGGCCACTCCGACTGGTTCCAAGGCTATTTATTGATTGGCAGGTATGTGACCTGCGCTTCCAGTCTTCGTATGAAATCACACGCTGATGTAGTTTAGGTATTTGATCCTTGCGATCGCGCTCTATGTGCATCCAGACTTTGATCACATAACACAGGAGGTCCCTTCTGGGTAGGGATGGGATTCTCTAATAGAATAAAGATTGAATGATCTCTTATTATAGACTTGATAAAATAGGTGTCTCTTCGCAGTGGCCAGCCTACGCAGAACACCACATGTCGTATAGAACCGAGCGCAAACCTTCTTGCGATAGAAACATAAAACAGATGATCAAGCAATAGTGAGTTCAGACGGGGGGATATGAGCTTGACAGCTCAGTTTCCGCAGTAGGGGAAGGACTATTTCCTTGAGAAACGTCCGAGTCAGGACGTCGAGAAACTTCTTTCCGCAGCTTGGACCATAGCATAGCGCCTATGCATGCCAAAAGAAGAACTGTTGTCACAACAGCCATAATACTTTGACCCAGGTGTATAGAAGTTGAATCGTCAATGCGTTCGATCGACCACCGGTAGCACGATAACTTGACGATGATGTACACGCCGAGGCCCAAATAGAGAACAGGGACCACCACACTCGCATATTTCTTAGCTCTGAGCCAGATATGCCCCTGCTTCATAACCAAGAACGCAACGAGACACCACACTCCGACTAAGATGTAATAAGTGACAATGTGTACCGCTATTTCTGCGGCCTTTGCTTGCGCAAACAGCGGTATATATGTTCCGATGTTGTCTCCCCCATTCATCACTGTGATGGCTGAGACTCTGAGTATGCTCTTCACACCGGAAATCTTTGATTTTTCCGATTCTTCATCCTCCTCGGGAAAGAGAACCTCAACGAGCTTCCAAATGCCCAGTAGAATGGGCGGGAGACCGAGAAACCCAGTGGGCTTAGAGGGTATCAATAGTGAGGCACCAAAACCAATCATACTGGTGATGATGATGACTGTGAACATGTCGTGGAAGTCAATGTGTCCATTTGATATGTGTGGGTGCTGCTCAGGATAAAGTCATAAGGCGATCCGTTGACGATGGTCACATGAACTACCGTGTCGTCTACGCCCTTGTAGTCTTTATCGTTTTCTGTGAGTTGGGGCCGATACGTAGTGCCCCTTGGGAGCGAGGCGGATGTGGTAGTGGTCGAGCGTCCTTTGCATGGATCCGGCGTGTCTTGGACGGGATCAAGCACGGTCAATTGAGACCAGTAGGGGCGGAAATTAGCAGCCAAGTTGTCTTTGCTGGACACAACCGTCCCACCAGACAAAAGCATATTCTCCGAGCCAATGGAGATCAAGTTCTGGACTCTGTCGACTGTACATCATGAATGAATGAGGATTTTTAGCCGACCAATAAAACCTACAGCATGGCTCTTCGACCATCTCTTCCGGGACGATCAAGGGCAGCTCGGCGACATGACAGTGAAAGCATTCCATCTATCAAGGTATACTCCCAGTGATACTGAGTATCACCATAGAAGAAACGTCTCCACTGACGATTCGATATTGATTTGGACGTCAGCAATTGTAGGATGCGATTTTCCATGACCAAGCCCATTTCTGCCTCCCCATTTTAAATTGTGCACAGGATATTATATCCTCCTGCAACGCTCGGAGTCCGAAGCCAGGTAGCAGATGAGTCGTGATCCCATGCTGTATGGCACCAGTGGAGAACAGGAAAGGACAACAAACCTGTTAAGGGAGGAACCTGGCTGGAGAACTTTTTACGTTGAGGGCGCCCAAGAGATTCAGATTTGTGCGAACTCCGACTGTTGCATCAGGCGTTGCATTGTCGGCCCCGATGGAGGTCAGGTCGTCCCTATATTGCCGATCAATAATCCTCATCTGTTGGCAAGTTAGAATCGCAGCTTTGGTTCGGTTAACGTATTGAGTGGTCTAGGATGTGCAATTTATCCCACTATTTCCTGTATACATCCTTTCCGCCGAGGTTGAGTTACATAGTTCGGCTGTACAAAGCTCCAAACAAGCCATGCCTTTGACTTGAACATAACAGAGTGTCAACTTCCCGTAGCTATAACTATCATCATACGTCCTCTGTCAGATGATCCGATCCATGCCCTGGCTTAGGATTGCTTCGCGTTATTCCGCTGGAAGTCAGTCCCCGTTCCGAAGCCCATTCGATATGATGAGCACTTCAGCAGCTTCAAACGACCAGCCAAACGGGCTTATCTTCTCATAACCCGTAATACTTGTCGCTTTACTATCCGTATCATCAACAGATTGACGTCAATGCGTCCGATTCACCGCTTCGTTGATAGTGCGGTGATGCTGTTGACCGCATACCCACGGCTATCGCTGGCCATCGTACTACCCCTTGAGCCAATCCTTCATTTGCATTGATAATGATAAGCTGTCCCTGCCTTCTATCGCGATCAATGCCCAATTATATTGCTGATCATGAGATGAGCTGTTCCACTCACCTATGTAGTTTGCCATGCTCTGATTGGCTGTTCCGCTTGGATCCCCGGGCGAGTCGCCGTTCGACAAACTGAGTCGGCGATTGGCCCAGATAAGGGGAACACATATATCACCTCAATATCTGGTTGAGGTAGCTGTGCCAACTATACCACATTCTTCTGTTTAGCGTATATCATCCGGAGTCATTGATCCCCATCACAATTCTGAAATACCATAATAATGTCTCCTGCTCTGTGTGGTCCCGTTTCCGTGGCCAGTCACCCGGCCTCGCTTGATCGCGTCCAGGACTATACCGTATCCCGCAAACCCAACACAAACTACACCCTCGACAACCTGGTAGAAGATATCAAGCAGTACCTGGGGAGCTCCGGTATTGACGACGACCATGTTGACCCAGCTGCCCTCATGGGCTTCATGTCCAAGTACACGTCCAGCAGCGCCGACTGGGCACGATACATGCGCAACGACCCCAGCAAGAACTATACGCGGAACCTAGTAGCCGATATCAGCGGGCGTGCAAATCTGGTATGTCATCGCTGTATCTCTCCCATCTCGAGCCCAGAGTTAACTCGAGTAGCTGCTGTTAGTCTGGAACCCCGAGAAAGGATCACTCATCCATGACCACGCCAACGCGCACTGTATCATGAAGATCCTCGATGGGGAACTGAATGAATCGGTCTACCATACTCCCTCGGCCGATGACCACGACGCTCCTTTGAAGATCAAAAAGGATACGACATATCAGCCTAATGAGGTGGCCTATATCAGTGATCAGATCGGGCTGCACCGCGTTGTTAACCCTTCCAAAGACCGGTTGGCTGTTTCGTTGCACTGTACGTTCAGGGACCATGGCAGTTTTGGCGAGTATGGACTAACCACCCTTCAGTGTATACGCCTCCGAACGCAGCGGACTTTGGATACAATATCTATGATCCAAAGACCGGAAGATCCAGTCATGTCTTCCAGGCGTAGAGATGCAGCGTATGATGTTATTGTTGCGCAGAATGATACCATTTCCGTCAACGTGCTTTTTTGTATATATGATACCATATTAGCGGCTGTCCAGATTGCATTATTTCGGTGCCTGTTTTGTGGTAATTTGAACGCTCTGCATAATGTGGCTTTACCAGATAGGGTCATAGTGAGTGGCCTACGCTGTGAATTCATTGAGAGGATCTATATTGAATTCTCCATTGCGGTTACAGATGGCGATCGACCAAACCTATCTATTCCCACAATGAGTTTGCCTAGCCCTCTATTCTTCAGTAACAATTTTGCTTATTTCGCCTGGCAACTAGAAGCGGGGTGCTTGTGCTTTCGGTGTCCATGACCGTGAGACCCTTTGCTGCCCGATGGAGCGGTAGAGGCTTGGGCAACAGGGGTTTCAGCAGCTGGCTCCGTATCCGCATTTGCCGACGACACGGCTGCATCCTGAGCCGTGGTCTCGCTGGCATAGTTGGCATCTGTCGCAACGGTAGAGTAAGAAGAAGCTGAGGAGGCATCAGCGGGAGCCGCAGCATGCTCAACAGCTGAAGCTCCTGCTGCAGGGGTAGCAACAGCAGGAGCAGAGGAGGCAGACGATGCAGCAGAAGCCCCAGAAGACGAATTGGATGAAGAGGATGCCCCGCCAAGAGAGATACAAGCAAAGCTCATCTTCTTGGTAGTGGTTGACGAGAAGCCGACAGGCTGGGACAGATCCCAGGTCATGCTGACATAGGGCCAGCAGACACGACCATCGGCCATGGTTACCATGTCACCCGCCACATAGGTATCGGTGCTAGTGAGAGCCTCGCCAACCTTCTTTCCACTCGAGTCGACCTGCTGGAAGAAGGAACCAGCAAATTGTCCACGGCAGCCCATGGCGATATAGTCACAGGTAGGATTCGAGATCTCCTCCCAGGTGATCAGAGCCGAGTCAGTGCCAAAGGTAGCCGCGTGCGCGTTCGAGCAGTCGTTCGAGCCGTTGGTGATCCAGGTGACCTGGCTGTCGCCATCCTCGGCACCCACCTGAGACGTTGCCTGAGCGCCGACCTTGGTGTACTTGTCGGTGAAAAGAGCGATGGCGACGTTGCGGCCGTTTGTCCGGTTATTCACGTGAGTGTAGCCGGCACCCATCCAGCTGTTCTCCGTCACGTCCATGGCGCCCCGAGACACCCAGGCGAAGATGTAGCGGGCCGAGTTGGCAAACCGGGCCAAAGCACTGTAGCTGCCGGACATACCGCCCATGGGCTCACCCGAGCCTCCATTTGTGGTGTTCTCATTGGAGATCTTGACTCCATCATTAGACATTCCGTGTGTCTTGGTGTTGAGCCAGATGGCGCCCTGGTCCTCGGCGCAGATGCTGGCAAAGGGGGGCTCGTCCGCCGCCTCGAACGCAATGCCGGTGTTGTGGCTGCAGCCCCAGGAGCTGCTGGCGCCGGAAATCGTCTCGAGGGTTCCCTTGTCCGACACGTACTGAATGCTATCGCCGAAGTGGCCCTGAGCCCAGCCGGCGTAGTCGGTGACGACGAAATAGGCGCCGTACATCTTTGCGCTTTCGGAGTAGGCCAGATCGCCATTGAGGTCGGGAGACGCCGATAGACCGTCAGCCTCGTGCACCCCAGGGCCACCGAGCCAGGTCTTCCATGTTTGTTTGCCGTTGGTGTAGCGGTAGAGGACTGGAACTGGAGTGTTGGATGGGGGCGCATTGGAGGTTCCGGAAGGCATAGCCTCGTTGGTCAGCAAGGCAAAGCCATCATTATGAGCAATCAGACCACCGGCTAGATTCTGTCAATAAGAAATCATAAAAATATCAATCACACCACATACCTTCCTTCCCACCGGCCACCGTAACCGTGGTTCCTGTAGCCTGAAAGGTAGAGGGATCCAGCTGCTGGACATGCACGTCCGTCTCGCTCGAATCAAGATAGGCGAGATAGGCGGTCTTGCCATCGGGCGAGACAGCAAAAGGAGTCCGGCGGTGGTGAGGGTAGTTAGTCCAGTAGGCAGCCTTGACGGGGTTGAAGTTGAAGTTGAGTGCCAGCACATCAACATGCTTTTCGAGGTTGGACGCAGTCAAACCGGTCGCGACGTCCAGCGCCGCAGTAAGCAAAGAAAGAACGAAAAACCGACGCATGATTGCTTGGTTGGTGTTTGCTTGTTGACTGACCACTTTCGGAGAGTATCGGTGGGAAGTCGACATGGATATATAACCTCCGTAACCAGCCCGATCTCGCCATATTGATTAAGGGGATGATCCTGAAGTATCAGATTTATCCCTAAAACGCCTAGACTTAATTCGTTCTATAAAGGAGCTTAATCGTTTTGTTCTGGGCATTCCTGAAGATGATCGGAAATATGCCGAACCCGGTGCGGTTCGCGTTTCATTTCAGCCAAGACGGCCCTTATTAGTATCCTGATTCGTCCATGATGTATGGATGTCTCAGTTAATAATCTACATGAAATAAAATTGTTCACACGTCAATACATGCTGAGACAGACCCAGGAATATAGGTGACTATTCCTTATACGAGTACGAGTTCCTCTTCCCACAGACACTATATACCGCTATCTACCCATAGACCTCAGCTATGGCGTACCAAGTGTAGTGGAAGCCAAGAGCTTTTCCTGTATAAGTATAAGGGCCACCACCACTATTTGTAAGAGGCAGCTCTATTCCCACCTACATAACACAACTATAGTAGGGATTTTATTGATGAGGATTAGATATCATCTGTAACTCTTTTCTTCTATCACATACGACCATGGGGTGTAGAGAACATGGCTTCCTGTCTGCTCGGCCCTACGCCGGCTGTTTAGTAGTTAGGTGACCGCCAGCGAATCCCATGCTGTTGTATGTTTTTGTTTTAACTATCTCTTCGATCCATTGGAGTTAGCGCCTTTGCATCCTGCCGCCACTCTCTGCGCCCACTTCACCTGAAGCTGACCAGAACCTGATTATCCTTCACTCAGCTCCCCGCACACCCCTTGTCTAGCTGCCATGTCTTTTCTGACGTCCCACAGCGCTTATTAGGCATGCTAAGAGCCCATTTTTATAATACTAACTAATATAGTAGAAATAACTAGATTTATAAGCTACATAGGTAAGTCAAGATCGCTTATATGCTGCTCAAGGGACTATAGTCTGTAATGTAGGTAGGTGAACATCATCTCCCTTAGAGAACTCTCGCTCAGGCATCTCGCGAGAGGTGAAGTCCCCAATAATGGAAGCCATATTGGCGGAAGCCTTGATCTCATTAGAGGGCGAGGACGGAAGCCAAAAAGGGCCAATATAAGGAAACCCTATACTTCGGAATCAACTTCGTACATCGTGGACTAGAACCGATGTATTGTCATTGTCGGGGCAGGCGTCTTTGGGAATACCAAGGGAGGAATATGTCTGAGATAAGACTAGAATACAATTTGATATTAACCTCTGCATGATTTAGCTACTGTATGACAATATCTTCCCTAACATCTGGTGTTCCTCCCAGGCGGGTCACTCTCAAACAGGCAGAACAACTTTGACGCCCATGTATTCCCTCTGGTGCATGATTTTGCCATCAATGAGGACCTGGTCTGCACCGACCCTGTTTCGAACTGTATCGGTCGGATCCGTGCAGGTGGCAATCTGAATCTCGCGCCATTGACGATTGGTAGGGACCAGCTTTCCTTGAGCTGTGAGGTTCTTGAACTCTTTGTAGACGCCTTGCTCCTCGATGCAGCCCTCCCTTTGAATGAGTGGTGACTCTGCTCCAATATCAGCACGACAGTATACCCAGAAAGAGCACAGGCTCACTCACCATACGCCGGCGCCATCCGCAAATCACCAACTGAACTGTTAAACAACACCAGCGACAAACGCTCTTCCTTCAACTGATCCACTGGCGGCTTGAAAACCCGGTGTCGAGTTGCCTTGAAATGACCCCCCGAGACAATCTCCAGTGTATCTCCGATGTTGATCACCAGGGCACCTGGCTTATACGGCACATAGTACCACTGTTCATCGCGGCCCCAGATCTGGAGACATGAGATCGGGACAGAGAACAGCAAAGTGGTCAGTCCAAAGTCGGTGTGGCCGTGCATGCGCAGACCCTTGGACGCCTCTTCGGTTTGTTTCTGGACGGGGCGGAAGAGGGCGTGCCGAAAGTAACCTTCACCCGTTGGGCCGCCGTGGGATTGCACGTTGTCCCAAAGGTAATTGTCAGGTAACTCAAGGACGCGCGAGAAGAGGGTGAGGAGCCGGCGGTTGACAGATTGGGTGAGGTAGTTGCAGAATGCTTCGATCTCGTCCATGAAGGGGTGGAGGCATCGGGGTACGCGATTAATGTCTTCCCACTCGGGCTTGTACCAGTTGAATTGTTCGATGCCGTCGGGGGTGCCGCGATGGCGCTGACCAAGAGTTAGTATAATCTTAAAACGCTACGAAACAGTGTAGCGGCCAACCTTGAATCCATAAGGGTGCTTATAACCGGACCAGACACCGGTGTCGGGGTCGAAAAGAAGGCGTTCTTTGTCTTCCTCGCTGATGTTGTTGTAGAGATATTGGGCTAGAGCAAATTGACGATGGAGCTAAGTGCCATGAGGTACTTGTCAGCCATCTCCTTTCTCCGTCACCTATAACTGGGAGAGCTCCTACCTGCTCCAAGGAAATTCCGTAGTTCTCCAGGAACAGAAATCCATCATCGCGGATGGCTACCTTGACCTTTTGAACGAGATTCTCAACGACAGTTGGGTCATCAGAGTCCAGCAGCGAGAGGTCAATCGACTTGAGTTGAGCGAAGTTGTGCTTTTCCTTGGTCACTGGAGGAGGGGTCCATTCGGGGACAAAAGGTTTACCAGTAGTGGGAGGGGGACTGAACGAAGCAGTAGGCGCCATGACTTCGGTTGATTTACTCTGATTGAATTTGACGGTGTAAGTATAGTTGATTGTAGACAGGTCCGATGAATTTCCAGGCTACTTTATACTTTATTTCGTCGCACGTTTATATTGGCATACTTTCTCCATCTTTGATCTCCAGATGGACAACTTGATCATATGAGCAGCAGAACAAGTCCCATACCTACCTCTGCACCTCCATCCTCGTGAGCAGTCAATCTACTCCATCAACTCCTTTCTTTTTCTGGAGCTCCTCTCTTGCAATTATTCAGACGTGATCTTATCGGCTTTTTGGTATAAGGTTAACCTTGACAGAGAGGACAGCCCTGGTACGATGAGCACTGTGGGGCGGAGGAGCTCCTCCCAACCTAGGGCGGAGCGCCCCTTGGGAGGAGTAGAATCAACATGTTATGTAGAAAACGCGGGACCAGTCTTTAGTTAACCTTATTCATAAGGAGACTGAGGAGATATTTGCGGTCGTATCCCATCTCATATCCTATCTTCAATCACTGCAATCCAGTTTTTACTCAGTCTGCCACGATGTCCCGTCAATTGATCTCCAGCGAAAAGTACCCTCCCAAGCCACACAATTGTGAGTATTCAAGCTCTCTGGTCGATCAAATCAGCCAGGATGCCTAATCCCTATAGGTCCCGCCGTCAAGGTCCCAGGCCTCGTCTTCTGTGCCGGACAGACCGCTACCGGCGAGATCAAGCAAGCGACAGTGAGTCTTCACATGCAGCAGTATACAACCTCAACAATCATCCTGATGCTAAACCATCTTTCGTACAGCGCACGGTATTGCAAAACCTAAAGGAAGTCCTCGAGCTGGCCGGATCATCCCTGGAACAGGTGGTAAAGTACAATGTCTATCTGGCCGATATGAAGGATTTCGCGGCGATGAATGAAGTGTACATTGATTTTCTTCCGAAGCCGATGCCTTCGCGCTCATGTCTTCAGGCGCTGCCTCCCGGCGACGGGACGGTGATTGAGATAGAATGTATTGCGCAGGTTTAGGCCGTTTAGAAGCTCATTCAAGAGAAGAATTTCATATGTTCCTGATGTGCTAAATTGATTCGTAGAAAATTCGCATATGGGTTGTTGATAGGATAATGTCATTCGTTCACTATATGGTCAATAACCAGACAACAGCATAGGCGCAGGCAAACAAAGCGAATTTGCTGCATGACGTTACACCTAGCGTGCTGCCAGGGAAGACCGACATGAGCAGAAAACTGGATGTGTCTACATAGTAATACCGAACTTCAATATAAAGATTATTACATATGCTATATCAACACATTGTGCAACAGAACAAAAATACAGAGCAAGAGACTACACAGGCAAGTAGCTAATCAGAGGAACATCCCCTTCAGCACTCAATCAATACATCTCGTACCGCCACCCCATTTGCACCATCTCCTCCGTCACACCCCCTTTCACAACCTTGGCAATTTCCTCTGGCTTCCCAGAGTCCAGCCTCGCATTCTCCCTCCGAACCAACCACCGATAAACCGTTACTGTGCACGCCAGCAAAACAGCCGCACCCATTAGCGCACCGAACGCCGCATAAAAGTGCGGGGAGGAGTAGTACAAATATGAGGCCCAGATATTCGATGTGCCGCCGATGGCATTGACCAGTGCCGAGGCAGCCGCACGCTTAGAGATTGGTCGGGCCAGGTGCAGGTTAATAGTCTTGTAGAGGAGGAGTTGCGGGCCGACGGACGCAAATGGTAAAATCATCATGGAGAAGTACCGCGCGCCGACGTTGAGGGTGGCCATGGAGATGATGTACATGGTGATAGAAATAGCGACGCAGACGAGGATGACAGGGTACACGGTGTTTTTGCGGTCGGAGTAGAACATTATCCCGTAATAGACGCCGCCGGCAAGGATGTACGGTGGCGCGGTGAGGAGCAGGCTCACCGTGTGCGAGAAGTTCAGGGAGGCGACGAGGGTGGGGAAGTAGTTTGCAATGGAGCCCTGGGTTTGCGACAGCATGTTGGCCAGGATGAGAAGGACGAGCTTCGGGTCGGAGAGGGCATTGGCAAACCCACGGAGGACGCTTTCATGCTCGTTCTCGATGCTGCCTTCTGCGGCTCCGGCCTCGGACTCGATACGCCAGACGGCCAGATCACGCTCCAGCGGGGAGAGGATGCGGCTGTTGTGAGGGAACTCGGGCATGATAAGGCTGCAGATGACGCCTGCACCTACCGTCACACTACCCTCGATGATGAAGAGCCATTGCCAGCCGGCGATG